GGACCAGGGATTAATCATTCATTTCCCAACCGACAGTACAAGCAGACAGAGCCATATCACCCCGACCAGATACACTCTGGCAAAAATTCTTCCATCTCTCCCATTCCCTTCAAAAACATGCCAAACACACAGTTTACTAAAAATGGTCCTTAGCATTCAAAGTATGGTTTGAATTAGTACATAATTCTCAGATATGGGTAGCCTTTCAGAACATAACACAAGGGAGTATATTTATTGCCTACACAAGTGCCACATTCAATGGTTTTCAAGTATCTCGTGTTTTAATCTTAATTAAGGACTTCATGCATCTGTCTTGGCTTCCTGAAAATTCCTCCCATGATGAGTACAGGTAGAACACTCCCCGGGACACGCCAGGGGAACACTTAATGGAAAATGCTGCTGCAATTCCAGCCCAGTCCTGCTTATAAGATCTGCCTGTACATATCTAACTTACTAAGTATACATAACATACTAAAATTTTATATAGTTTTTTAAATATTTTTAATAAATATATATATTTAAAAAAAATAAAATCTACAGCAATGCCTATATCTCCCTTTCTTCAGTGGGAAAAATCATCAGCCACTAGTTTTCACTTGCTTCCATATGGAATCGCACACACTGGCCATAACGCCGCTGTAGTCCAACAGTGGCTTTTTAAGAAATTAAAGCCAGGAACAACTACCAGATTTAGAGATTCAGCTTTCACCATCACTCTCAGAGGCTGCTCCTTCATTCACAGGATCAGTGGAGCCAGGCACAAGATATGTCCTTCCATATGGAAGGACACATACCTGCTCCACAGACTTGCAATGAGCCTCGCTGTGTGGCATTATAGTGAAGATACCAAAATATCCTGACAAGTTACTTTAATTCTTTTACAGCCTCAAACTAGACATTTCATTCATAGTAAGTGATAGTATTCATTAAAATAAATGTTTAACAGCCAGTTATTAGCAGAGTGGTCATACTTTAAACATTTAATTTGCTACCGATACAGTTTTGCATTAGCAAGCCTGGAAAACAATTACAAATTACACAATTCAATTTTCCAAATGGATTATTCCATAACTAGACAGAAAGACTGTTTAAATTACTTCTGTTGTTACAAGGCAAGATTAATACAATCGGATTAAAACTCAGATCCCCTTGCGGAATCAGTACATTCCTGTCAGCAGTATGCAGTTAGTTGGTTTTCTATTGGAATAGTAAGGATTCTTCTGGCACATTGCAAAGTCAAAAGTCACTTAGAGAAATAATAATTTCTTCCTTCCTCCAATATTATTTTGTTAAAGCATATGGTAATTTGTCGTTGATTATTTACATTTACCAAGGGAAAACTAGACAGCTACCCAAAAGGCAAATCTCCGCGTAGATTTTGTAGCCTGGTTCCTAATTATTTTCTCTCCCCACCAAATGAATTAAGCGGGCAATTTGCTTTGTGTATGCAAATTTCCAGTTCACTTCATAAACTACAGGCGAGTATTCTCAGATGACCTGTATTTTAGGACACTTTAACCTTTCCATGTTTAAAAAAACAGAACAAGATTAGAAAGTATTTAAAGGTCAGTATTATAAAAAAAGAAAGTACTTATTTCTTTTGTTGTTTTAAACTTTGAGTGGCGATGACGTCAAAATTCAGCCTCTGGTGCAGGGCTGCAGAACAGGACACATACATCACGCATTCAAATGCAAACAAACTGGACCCCCCAATATGACAGAAACCACCGAGACACCTCAGAAACATTGCTTGCGACCCAGACTTCAAACGGATAAAGGAGAAACCTTGACTGGATGAAGGTGCCAAGGAGATATTGTACGGTCTCAGTCCACTGCAACTCAGCTTCAGTGACTGGTACCACCACGGTGCCAACAGAACAAATGCTCTGGACAGAATCTTTTGGCTAATAAATCAAAATAACATTTGCACTTGAATACATCACAGAAAAAAAAAGCAACAAAATGAAACAATTTAACACTTCAGTGAAGGAGGCAGGTGCTATTGAAAAATTAGCTCCATTCATCATTTTTCTTTTTCTACCCTTTACAGTTTTATGACTGATTAAACCTTTCCTGAGATTGATGGAGTGATCGGGGGCTCCTCAGTTTTCCAGATTTGATGCTGCTTTCAACAGCATTTGAGAATCACTTCAGAACCCAGGTAGGAAGTTAACGACCATATTTCTGAAGCACTGGTAACCTGTAAGTGAGGTTTGCCTCTCGCAGTATCATCTATCAGACTGAACTGCATTCGTCCTTAGATTCATTAGCAGAAGCTTATGACACAGTGACACTTGACATGTTAACAGGACTGACTGGGCTTCCCATTTGTAGGATTATCTTTATTGTCAGAGACAGCGAGAAGCAGCCTTCTGTCCAGGAGTGACAGAATTAGAATAGTCACAGAAAAGCCTCTACGCACCATCAAGCTGTTATTACAACAGCTGCTCTGGCCGACCAAATGTACACCAAGACAACAGCAATGACTACCCTAGACTTCTGGATGGTGTCTTGAGTACCAATGTCCCGTTAACATTATACATCAAAACCAGGTGATAAATAGTGTTAATTGAAGACTCTGCCATAAGTTGTTTGTTGGGTTTTTTTTTTTATTAATAATTAACTATGCTTTTTATAAGAATCAGTTCAACTATAGAGCAGTATAGAGCAGCAGTAACATGTTCTCCTTTTTCAACACCTCATATGTAATACTGTTAGAAGCCGCATCATTCATCACCTTGGAATTTCACACATTTACAAAGCTTATTTAAAAAAGAAACTCATTTTTATCCACCTGCGCTCTTTGTAAGTTAACACATTTTAGCAGAAAATGCTATTTAATATTCATTAGCTTCCCTTCAGTAAGGTTCGTTAAAAATAAACAGGACCCGTCAAGTTGTGCAGCTGATAACTCTAGAATTAGAAGACAGCCTTACTTACCATCACAGTGAAAAAATGGGGACACTGCAGAGCCCCACTGCCAAATAGCAACACTGTGTGACAACCCACTGTCTCGAGCAATCACATTTAACCCGCTCTAGTTGGTTAGCACTGCTTCATTACGGAGTGGCAAAGAGTGATAAAGGTGGAGAACAAATGCTGATGGCCATGTTCCCAGGGTAGCTCCCACAAACGGCAGCGAGGTCGCTGCCCAGTCATCCAGCCTGTCTGCACCCCAGTGGCTCTCAGCAAGCTCATCCACAATGTCCAGGCTGACGTGGTGCTGGGAAGAGAGATCTCTCCGTTTTATACAGGAGGACTACAGGCTTTCTGGCAGAAACCTCAGCACTGCATCCCGTAATTTGGGTCTACATACCTGGGCCCTGAAGCAGGCAGATGTTTAGGGGAAGGGCTCAGAGCATTGGAGCTGGCAGTCTAGCTCAGGAGGTCCAAGACACCAAAAAAACCCATAGAAGCTCAGACTGATCATCTCAGATATACTCAGTGTAAGACTCAGACCCCAAGACACCACTCTCCAATTCCTGAAAAGGAGACTTAGGATATAATCTATCAGTTCACTCCAGCTGGAACCAGTGCTTTCAGGAGTGCACATTACATTCAAGTGACCTGCATGCAAGCTTGTTTTACTCCTCCAAAAGTGACTGATTGTGGAGTTTGACCATTGTTTATTCCTGTCAAATAAGCTACCAGAGAAATCCAAATACTAAATTTATAGAAGAAGCAACAGTTTAACATTAAGTAACAGTTAACTATAGACTAAGCTTGACTTAAAGCTGAAAACCCCTCAAAGCTAGTGGGACTTTCTGTGGTGCTTTAGTCTGCAGATGCAGACGTAGCAAATTGCTGTTAGGTTACATACGTGACAAGTAAGTGCTAACCTACAGATTTTCTTGAAAGAAGAGAAAAAAATCCAGCCTCATTTAGATTCCTCATGGATTTCATATCCACTACCTAATCTGAACTTCAAGCCAGTGTGTGCTGCTGATATATTGCATTAATACAATGAAAGAAATACAGATTTGCATTAATAATTGACAGAGCCATACTAATATAAGCGCAACATTTCACACAAAGCTGGAAATTGTCTTATACACACTGTGCAACACTCACACACATCAAATAAAAAAAAATGCACTTCTCATTACTTTTGAAAGTTGCTTAATATAAATTTGAATGAACTATTTCTGGGCATGACTTACTACAAATAGCCACAGGTTTTATGACCAATCAATTACAAATTACGTGGCATGTAGACAGACAAGTCTGAATTCAGATTTGGTATTCCCCCAAGATTTCCTCCTAAATGTATGTCAAAGTGAGTAAGCGCAGATCAGCCTCAAGCTGAGCTGTGCTCACCAACTCCTAGGAATTTATGCACATAATTCTTAATCTTCTAATATATTAAGCTTTTGCCACCAATGATTATAAATTAAAGGGCTTCTTATTTTCATCTCCATGCCCGGGAGAATTACACATGTAAATTCTCAGATGAATATGAAATGTGCACATAACTCCAGAGAAGTGATTAGAGGGAAAAACTTCATTCTTTTAATACTGGTGAATTTAGCAAAGGTTTTCACATCATCATTGCAAGAAAAATTTGCATGTTGCCCTTCATTTCTGTAGCTGTCTAATATCTTCGCACAGATGCAAAATCCTAGTAAAATGGGAACTTCTAAGTATCCAGCTTTTTGAATTCACACGTTACCTTGGACAGTTGTTAGTGTAATTATGAAGAGTAGTAGTCATTGCAAAGTATTTCAGATCTGATTTTAAAGGGCTGAGGAGAGAAAAGGACATCTTCTCTAAAAATAAAGTCATTTTCCATTAGCTTAGCAAGATGTTTGCTGCGAAGCAGAAAACAGAAACTTACTCTGCCTCTACTTCACTGAATGAAGGAACATACAAGTGGGCTTAGGACCTTGATAGTAAAAAAAGTTCCAATTTTCAGGCCAATTAATATATGTCAACTTCAGATTTTACTCTTGATTGTACGTTAAAAAAAAAGTTTAAGAAACAACCATATTACCAAGTCTTACCTTGTGATAGCATCTAAAGTAAGCAGCTCGTTCATCTGAGAATTTCTCCAGCCTCTTTGGCCCTTTGCTTGAAGCTTTTTTGAATACTAACCAGCATCTCTGGTAAATCTAGAAACACAAGAGAGTAAACTTGGCATCTCCAATGACTTGAATATCACTAATATTTGCATAGAAGTTAAATGCATAAATCAGCTGTTGCTCTGGAGCTACAACTAATGACTCTCAGTAGCTTACACAAAACATAAAATCAAGCTAATGGATAGTTACATCCTATTTCTTTTGAATTACGATACAATCAGAAATTCTTACGAAGACAGTGCATACTTGCATGAAAGGTGCTCGGAAGAAAGAGCTGTAATTATGCTTGCAAATGCAGAGCTTTCTAGGAAACAGCTTTTTAAAAATAAAGTGACACACTTTTCCACGTGGATTTCTTACTGGTTCCAGTCTTGCATGCTTAAGACAGACAGGTAGGAATGGACCTTCCATCACACAAGTATGAGAGATAAAACTAAGTGTATATTCTATGTATAAGGGTAAATAAGGATACATAAGGGAGAAGGAACTGAATTACTGGGTAACAAAAAAGACAGACCATTTAACTGTAGAACCCAGGACATTCTGACAACTGGCATTTTGCTTTCAAGGTCCAGTTGAATTTAAATTCAAGTCACTTGGGGCAGACTCTGTGCAGAGTGGTTGAAAAAACACTTCTCCATCTACAGCATTAAGCCACTTCATCTCTCAAGCTTCTGCCACCATTTCTTGCAATCTTCCCACCTATCCTTCAACTGTGGTGCACTTTCTACCATCCTCTTACATTCAAAACCACAGCTCTCAGCTTAGATAACATACTGGCTGTATAGAAGGAAAGAATTGTAAGCCTTGCCAACTGCTCACAGCCTACATTTAATCAGTAATTCCAAAGTAACACCTTGTAGGTTAGAAATAAAACAAAACCGCCACTAAAATTAGTGTGTTTTCAAAGAAAAAAAGTCTGATCAGCCTACTATCAAGTAGTTCACAGCTCTGACAGAGCTCCAACGCAGTGCAAATTCACTGGAGTGATCAGCAATGAGACCCATCAAAACATCTCACTGCCTCCAGCTAAGCCAGCACCCAACAGGTATCCCAGTAGACAAGGCAACTCCATCCTTTGAACCCTTGATGGGTTTCTAACCAATGTAGTCAGCACAAAACAGTTATGCCTATGAAAAGCATCTATAACTTTATTTCTGTGCCCAAAAATGATTGTTAGTTGACTAGCTGTGCGTCTTTCACCGGCTTTCAGCTGTTTCTGTAAAGATGTTCAGGGAACCTTATTATTCCCCCCAGCTTTATTATTCTGCCTCACATGTGGGCACTCATACTCCCGGCCCACTTGGCTGCAGAAGCATTTAGCATATGGACAGGCTGCTCTGATGCCAGGCACCAGCTGAACCTATCAAGATTTTCTTCCAATTTTCCAGCTTATTGGCCACTCAACCTGTTCTGTTTAATGCAAGGGTTTGAATTGAATTGTTCAAGAATTACTAGACACTGACCAAAATGAGAGCTTACCACCAAAAAAGCAATTCAGATATGCACCCACTTCCACTGGAAGAGACTTCCTACATTTGCCTTCTGAGAATCTTGGTTGCTGGGCCCAGATAACCTCATCACACTTGACAAGAAAAACTCTCCAAAACCCCACCCAAAAGAGACTGTCAAAAGTTTGAGTATTCAGCCCTTTTGCTTTTCAAAAACCTATAGTTTTAACTTTAGCAATTAGAAGCCCATAGAAGAGAACAGAATCCTTTAGTAATGTATTTGCCATTATACAACACACATGAGGACAACTACAACATGATGATGTCCTACTCAGACCATTTGCACTCGGGAGCACCTCTCTGGGTCAGCAAGCATCTCAAAGCTGTGGCTGCAACAATGAGCTCAGCAGCACACAGAATCAGGGGCAGAACAGGAGAGTAACATTCTAATACAAATAAGCAAAGAAAGTTTTGCTCTGCCTCCAGCTGGGCACCGATCCAGGATGGTCATCGCCCTTCCAAATGCCGCTAGGAGCATAAGTACTATTAACAATCAACTCCGGTCAAGCATGGTAGATGGCTATAAGCTGGTGCTACTGGAATTCATTACTGCAGTTCAACAATGACTAATCCAAGACTAATTCTTAGATTTAGATCAGAATCAGGGCACAGCTGGGGAAAAAAAGAAAAAAAACAAAACAAAACAAAACAAACTTGTTACATATAAGTATCTCCAAGGATGCAAAAGCCAAATCAGCCTACAATATAAATACTGGTCTTTGAGATTTGGTTCCAATCCCCTATTACAACAATTATCTAATTTTGTTTGAGTCCCAGGGTTGGAATACATTATGCCAGTGCCCCAGGACAACATCATCATGACCCAAATAACTACACCTATAAAGAACAAATGGCATTCATGATGCTAACTTGAGCAAACCGGAGGAAAGTCAGGTCATGAAGGTCCCTCCCCTGAACTTCTTCCTCCTTCTGTATGAGCTAGTCAGCTCTCTCCTCTTAGGGAATCTCTAGGCAGAGAGATTCTACTGCAATAGTAGATTAAAGTAGAATAAAGTATTTTGTTTTGATTAGAGACAATGAACAATTTTTTGCCTGAATATACAGTTCGGAATCCCATTAATGTTAGTGACCTGATGGTTAACTCCTCTCTGCTGAGCTTATATAAACAAACTCAAAAAGAAGATACATCCCCTCACTTGAAACCTGCTTAGCACCTTAAAAAAATCAGATAATGGAGCCATCAACGATGAGTACTATTATCACAGTCACATTTTTATGCTCCCATGACACATACATCTCACAGGTGAACATCCAGCACCACCTTAACTGAGCATAAACTACATGATACCCTAAAGCTCTAGCAATAAAGCAATAAAAAAGGGGGTTGGACTATATGACCTTTAAAGGTCCTTCCAACCCAAACCATTCTACGATTCTATGAATAACCAATTCGGCAGCATCTGCCTAGGAGCACTGAAAGCCCTTCAACACAGTCAACGCACAGAAGAGATGATGTGGTGCCCAGGACAGAGAGCTAATCATAGACCCTGTTATGAGCTACAATACAGAGCAAGTAATTAGGTCTTTGATGCCATCATGACCTACTACGTGTCTGAGACTTGTCAGTATTTCTTCAGGTTGAAGACGGCAGGTGAACTGTTTACATTGTTACAGCTGTCTTGACAGCAGGAACAAGAACCAGCCCCAAACGCTCTTACGTGCCTATTCCATCATGAATACTTAGCTCACTTATCCCTCAAATCAACATTTTTACTACTTCTCCATGAATAGGAATTAGTTGAAAGTACTGCTTTAATTACTTCCACTCCAAACACTTGGGCTAACAGCGATTAGATAATCCAAACAGCAAATCAGGATCTGATGTGCTGAGAGAGAACAGTAATAGCTGTCATTTGCATAACACCTAAAACTTACAAAGCGCTCCCTGAGAGATCTGCCGAGAAAGCCTAACTCAAAATTTAATTTGAGTATCAAAAATTAGCATCCACTTCCTATGGTCTCTCCTGAAAATTTCAGCTTTTAACAGCCCATCAAGCAGGTAACAACATAAAACTCGAGGGAAATAATGCAACTGTTTATGAAGTGGATCATCCACAACCCAGATAGGTGATCCAATATGCATGTCCAAGGTCACGTCAAAACAGTTCTATTTTTGCTCTAAAGATCAGCTGATATAAATCATTTCCACAATTGAAGTCAAAGAAGGAGCGACTTCAAAGGAACGATGCAATCTGAGTATTTGGATTCCTGCTCTCAGTGCTGTGCCTTAGGAACCAGGCAGGATTGCTCAGCCATCCCCATGCTCCTTCTGATGCTGGAAATACACGGTGAAGCAAAGGAGTTATTAACCTCAGTTGGAACTGGCCAGCATCTGGCTGAGTAAAGTGGAAAAATTTCTTTCGACTTTCCTGGGTTTCATGGTTCAGTTGTGGTTTGAGAATACTCTCATGCAGAGAGGGAAACTGAAACCGGAGGCTTGCTGTCCTACGTGATGACCCAAACCCCTGGACCGTCCTGGAAATGGGTGTGGGGAGGGAGACCTGTCAGTCTGCACCACCTCCCAACTGATCAGAAAAGCAAGATAACGAAGAGCTAGATTTCTGAGTGCCTAAAATGTCATTCTTTATACATGAAGCACAAACTATTCCACACAAGAATCAAACATTTCAATTTAGAAACTGAAATTTGCGTTTCAGTCCAAAGCAAGTTTACCCCACCCCTCAATACCTTTGTTCAGCAACTGATCTAAAACAGCATGTGGAAATAGACAACTATTTAGAAATTGGAGCGGGGAAGCTATTTTTCATATCTTGGGGCAGGGGGTTTTACACTGGCTATTTTTTAAAACTAATATATGTGGCTTCCACTACACTATGGCAAAGCAAGCCTGTTTTACTTCAGGACCAATCAATCCCACCCCTTATTTGTTTGTTATTTAAGAGGGACATAGAGGTCAGAGACAGTAGCACAAAGTCTCATCTGGCAAATTTCTCCTTTGCGAACAAGTGAACCTTCAGGGAAAGCTGCCCTATTTTATTCCTGCATTACATTTTTCTGCTCTTTGCCCTAAACCAAAGAATTCCAATGAGCGGCATTTACAGGGACACTGAACTTGCTGTCAAATAAACACAAACTCTGCTTTTTTAAAAGCAGTAGCTGAAAGTACTGTCATGCAGCTTGGGATGATTACCAGAAAGCCTGGGCTATTGCCAGGAACTTGCCTTTTGTGACTGATAACCTCTAGAAACAGATCATCTAGTAAAGGCACAGCACAATAGCACAAGAAATTTCTCACAGTATATTCTGAACTTTTTTTTTTTTTTGTAGAAAAAAAAATCCTGCCACTTTATCCAAGGCTGGTAGGTAGCTGACCCACTGAAGTACCTCAGTTGCATATGGAAAATTATTTGAGCGTTTTTGCTGAACTTTGCCAGGGAGTCTCCAGCAGACCGGAGTTCCAGGTACAAGGTCCCTTCCAACAGGGAGCTGCTCACACAGGAAATTAGCCAG